GCAGGCTTTCAAAGGCTTTATGGAAATGGATGCACCATACGTCTCTTTCGAAGCCCTCTTCTAAAACACTTGTCCAGAACTCACGTGAAGTCAGAAAATATGAAAGGCAGGAGCTCCCTCGCCGAAACCCAAGCTGAACATTTTGTAAGACGTCATTTTCATCGTAAAATCTTAGTATGGCCTGCTTGACAAGGACCCCCGTCGTTTTGCAGGAAAGGCAAGGCCTAAAGCTGTTTGCTGCCATCTTGCCGTCTCCCTTCTATAAGGGTACAACGTTGGCTGTTATCCACTGCAAAGGCAAGTCCCCTGTTCTCCTGGACAGTTCGAACAGATATGAACGAGGCAGCGATACCTCGGTCGATAGTTTTTTGAGTATCAGCCCAGAGATCGCATCCGGTCTAGCAGACTTGTCTAGTGTGATATGACTGAGGACGCGTCCTACGTCTGCAACAGAAAAGGTTACATTTTCAATCACAGCTGCGTTCTCGCTCGTTAAAACTTCCGGATTGTCATCGGGGAATTCCACCGTAAACGCTAAACTAAAGAACTCGGACAGTAACTGTACTTTCCGAAGTCCTTCCGTTAATAGGTTCTCGAGTTGCAATAGCATCCCGGTGTTTCCTTCGACTGCGGATGTACCCATAACACTTATTGGGATATATTGTGGCGTGTGTTGTTAGCTGATGCTCGAAGGCAGTTCTAGCAGTTTTCTTTAAACGAACGGCTTTCTGAAGAAATTGTTAATGGGACTTGAAAACAAAAATCGTCGGATAGTTAAAATGCTTCTGGCGAGCATAACGGAATTGAACCTTCAACTCACCAAAACCGAAGCTCTAAATACTCTCCTGTTTTCACGAGCCCGTTTCATAACTTTTTCCGCCTCTTCCAGAATTTCTTTCAGCTTCTTCTTTTCCTCCTCAAACTGCGTATTCGCAGTCTAAAAGCCCAAAAAACGCAAGGTAAAATAGCAAAATCATGCATGCCCCAGTCTTCATCAGACAGAGGACTGTCTTGCATTTCAAGCAAACATTATTACTTAGATTATAGAGCAAAGAAGCTGCAGTATAATATCGAATCCTGCAAAAATGTCCCGCAATGGGTTTCATAGACTCACCGAGCAAACGAACCCTCGAGCTGATTCGTTGAGGGATACCATGACCAAAACAGTGTTCTCTAGCGCTCTCAACTCCTCCTCGGCTGTGCGTACGGCTTTGTCCAGTTCATCGCCCTTACTGTGAAGTTCCTCGTGTTCAGTTAGGGCCTTAAATGTTGGGAGGTATGATAACATGGCTTTGGTGTTTTTCTTGGAATAACACAGCACATTAATGAGTGTCAAGATTGAAGAAGGCCTCTCTAGATTACATACAAATGCGGCATGAGTATAGCAGCAAAGGGGTTCAGGTCGATAATAGGTGGCTGGTTACGCGGCGGTGATGATTTGTTGAAGTTGGACCCCTTCCATCTGGTCCGGCTACAACAAAACCTCACTGCAGGGTAACTAGTTTCCTATTGTCGACGCCTAACACCCCCCCCCTTCCCTATTCCCATGACCCTCATAAGACTGCCTAGAAAGGTTCTTGAAAAACAGCGGGGCAAAGAGGCGAAAGCATGGTCCTGCGTAAAATCAAGTTAGTGGAGTTACAGCTGCATGTGAATGTAAGGAAGTATGGTATTCGATGGCAGGACTTCCCGAGAATAAAACTGATTAGGCAACTTAGAACGTTTGGCGACCTATCTATCAGTCTGCCTATAAATATCAAAACGTTTCTTTCCTTACCAAAATCGAAAGTCCAGGAGGAAGACGATTGAAACTATAGACTGTTCCCCTAAATAAGAGTTGTACTGATTTAATGCATTGAATCGGCTACTT